TCCTTTCACGAGTTCACACCAGCTTTAGTTTTCAAGAGGGTTTCTTCTGGAGCTCTTTATTGAAAACAGCAATCCCACGCCTGTTTCAGAAGGCTTAAGGCTGGGGATACTATAAGCTGGTTTTGTTATGAAACAAGGGGCAGGACACCTGGATTCAGTGTTTAGTCAGAGCAGGCTACCATGCTTTCTTCTCAGACCTAGCCAGCCCTTCTAGCTATTCCTTCTGGTCCTATTCAACACAGATGTGCTCAAGCCTCCCAGGTCTATTGTTGAACTCTACTGCCTATACACCAACCCGCATTTTAATGGCCAATGTATTGTGAGAGCTAGTGGTGTTTATTGTAACAACCAATTCATACGGAATCTGTCCTTCACAAATACCTTCAGAAAAGACGCTCCCCTTGCCATGAAGACCGATTTCTCAATAAATAATGTCCGGCTAAAAGTGACCCTTGCTGGTCCGACTGCCAGTGATTTCTTTAGAATAAAGAGTGAAAGGGTCTGACAAGAAGCCATTGTGGCTCCTGTTGATCTTGACTGACCACTGGACCCTCCTAGACGGACTATGCTCACGGAGGACCTCCACTTGACAAATAAAGATCTCACTTTTCTGACGGGCAATTAACGATCACTATGTTTTGTTATGTAAATTCTGTTCTTGATCGACAGAAATAGTGTTGAGCTATGCCTGCAGCTGATGACTGAGGATGACTAGGTCCTAATGTGTGTCTAAGTGATAATAAAAATTTGAAAACAGTACTGACTGTTTACTCTTCTCCAAAGAGATTGCAAATAAATATCTGACACTATCAACACCATGAAGGTATTGATCATTGGACAGCAAGCGAGGAGAAGAATTCACAAGAAATAGACTTCCTCGCCTGTGTCTATTTCACAACTCGTGGCCTCGCCAAACATTCAGTGTGTGTGTGAGGAGCTTGCACTGAAGGGGGGATTCAAAGGACTGTTTTCGATATCCAATCTCCTTGCAGGGAATCCCCTTCCAGGGAATCAGGCCCTGATCATTGAATACTGAAATTTGGCAGCTGGTGGAACTTCAGTCAACATTTACCAGTGAGAATAACATGCAGGTCTACAGGGTCAGACCAAACAAACCTCGTTAAGCAGGGCCAAGTGGGAAGGAGATCCACTATAATGTACACTCTATACATTTCGGTTTGAAATGCTTGCAAATAAAGCATTACACTGAACACTGACTGCAAGTATTAACACTATGAAAAATATTCTCGTATCATGAACATTTACATGTTTGATGTATTGACAGGAAATCTTTTAGCTTGATATTGGGTAAGGTAGAAGTAATGATATCTTGAGGGGGGAGGGGTGGTGGTGTTGGGGTTTGGGGTTGGAAACGTGATTCACAATAGATAAATGGGGACAGTTTCATGTGGGGATGGATGAGATGACAAGGGTTTCATGTTGGCTTGGATGAAATGGGTTTCATGAGAGGATGGATGGGACGAGTAATGGTTTCATGTTGGCTTGGATGATAAGTATTTCATGTCAAGTGGATGACAACCCTTTCATGATGTAGTGGGTGACATTTGTTTCATGACGAGATGCATGACAATGGTTACATTAAGGGATATTTGATGAGTGGTTCATGAGGAGATGGGTGGGGGCTGTATTATGAGTGGATCGATGCCAGACATAGGGAAAACTTCAAGAAGACTTCTATGTCAGTTTATGCAGGGAAACAAGCGACTGCTATCAGATGAACCGTTACCCGACACCGACACAATACTGCATACTCGTACCACATTCCTGACATGGACAATAACATCGTATCACATACTGAGCTGTGTAATACGACTGTAAGCACAAGTACACCAGTACCCTCAAATCACTTTACCGATATCACTTCTGGGACAAGTCTTGGAACATGTTCCTCTGTTCAACATGTATAAACACCAAAAATCATTCCATTTCCCAATACCAACATCACAAAAAAATGCTACTTTCCTCATCACTACCATCAAGTGTATTTTCCTTCTGAAGATTTTAAAACCATTATCATATCTGACATCAGTAGCAGGAAACTACTATGATAACTATCAATATCACTGTCATAATAGCTTTATCATGTCCACAATAATCTTAATAATCTAGATTAAATATATAGGACAGAACCTTGTAAAATATCAAAACGGATAGCAGTTGTACAAAATCATGTTACCAAGAATCATTAACTGCATAAAAAACAACCAAAAACATTAATTCCATCCTGAACAAAAACAAAATCCGCAAGTCATGGTCAATTTCTTCACTAATCCTTACCAAGCGGCTACACAGACAAAGTATGTGATTGACAGTGTAGTTTTCAGTGTCAGTTGTCCTAAACGTGGGGAAGCAGTAATCAAGTTACCCCTGCTTGCATGACTGTTCCCATCACAGGCCTTGACTGGAAGCTATAGCCCCTCCACGTACCACACCTGCGCTCTATATAACTGGCATTAATTGCAAGGTGCCCCCCACACAAACTGCTAGTGAAACTCAGTAAATGTCACCAGCAAAGATGCTTCTAAGATTACAGTCATAAAACTGAAATTCTCGCACTAGCATTTGGATACTGGTTGAGTCAAACAATACAATTAGGACTTGAAGTTTAAAAGATAACTTGAAGTTTTATTAATCATTCATAAGGGATGACTAGTTTTCCAGTATATTGAGCATCTTTTAAAGATATTGACGGAAAACAAAACAATGATTGATGGTATTTGTACATAACTCCCCAATGTTACATAAACACAAGAGTTCTTTTTAAACATATCGACCGCTGTTAATATTCAAACTGACACATGTTCATACATGATTTCTTGTGACAAAGTACTGTGTCAGTATTTACAGTACATCAAGTTCGTTGTTTTAATATTATTTTCTAAAAATATTGAAGACACAATCACACTCTCTAATTCATATAATTATTTAACAGAACAAATATATAACTACATATCTATGAATTAACTGCAAGAATATGAAGATGATGATTAAAGTATTGTCATACTACTTCAACTTAAAAGTTGGCAGGAGAATAGTATCTGTATTCATCTACACGCGCAACATATTATGGTATCCATACATACAAATCCTTATCAGCTATGCTAGTCACTTGAGCAATTTCCTGATGAAGTAATCAAATCTGTTCGAAGGTTGATAAGGGCAGCTATCCCATGGGTGGGATTGAATAGCTCGTAATCTCGAGTGAGTACCCCCTGTCGTCTATAATTTCTTGCATCAAGGTGTGTTCACATCTGTGCGATCACACCGACTGTCAAATCTGAACTTTGATACCTCCCAGCTGTCTGTCAAACACTATGAATAAATCAAGGGTATTTCACCTACAAACTTCAACTACACTACATGACTAGGTGGATTTGACTTCGGAGACACGACAAAACTGTTACATTGTTTGTCATAGGATGCAAGTTTGATGACAAATTTGTAAAATATAACATTTAAAACTTATTTAATAATATATTTCTACTCAAAAGATGTTTTGATCATTAATTTGTAAAACAAAACTTATTTAATCACATATTTCTATTCAGATTTTCGATTCAACAAGAAATTGATTTCTTATGACAAAATGTAAGCAAGCATTGCTTGTCAATGACTGAACTCTAATTGCCACGTATTAACAACTTGACATTCATCAATAGATTCACACCTGGAGTGTAAACATGAAATTAAATAATTAATAGCTTAATTACTTCCCATATCGTGTATTGTAATGAAATACCTGATGGCTACACACACAGCCATGACCTAGAGAAACACCTGTTAACCTTTAATCAGCACAGCAAAACTCAGGTACTCCCAGGTGAGAATACACTAATTGGACAAATATGCAATCAAAATAATCAGGTGATAGGGGCATTTCTCATCGGGGGCCATCTCAAATGTTTGGAAGCTAATTCACAGGGTACTTTATTAATGAAAAAAAAGTTACAATAATTTGGCACAGCCTAAATAACTGATATTAAAAGCTTATTTGTAAGCAGGTGAAATATATAGCATCATGTCAGTTTGGGAAACGTAGTGTTAATCTTCCATTTCAGAACTGAGCGACCTTTCTTTGTCTGGTGACTTTACAGCCAACATCTATACTTGCATCTTAGCATGGAAAGGAAAATAAACAAAGGTGTTATGTAAGCCCAGCCTATTGGGTGGCTTAATGAAGAATAAACTGTCAGCAGGGGAAAATATCTTCACTTGAACTAGACCCGAGATTGCGATTCTGAACAAATAAACAACCCAATTTAGATCCACTAACTTGGAAGTGAAAATGTTACAAGTTGAACTCAAAGAAAAGACGGAAGCTACTTCACAAAATTACCTCCCGATTCAGCATTGAAAATACTGTTTGAGTATGTAAGGACTTAAGCCTGTGGCAGGGAGGTTTAACATTGTAATGTGATAAAGATCGTATCGCACAGAATTTAGCAATGTGTTGGGTAATATGATTTTTTCTGAATATTTCTGCTGAAGCAATATGATCTTTTGGATTGCATAATTACTGTATATCCAGATGTGTGACAGCAATAGTCATGTGAACACTCTTACCACCTGACAAAGCTCTCGTTAATTTTTAATTGGAACCAGCTGTGATTGAAGTTAACAATTAGCACGTCACGTGTGACAACTTCAGGTTGGGGAAGCTGAGTGGGTAAAATGTACCGCAGCTGTAAAATCACAGCTAATTTCAAAGATGAGTTGGTCTCTCCATATTGTGAGCGTTAAAGCGAAGAAACGCCACTACTTAAGTCAGAGCGAAATGAGCATTCACAACACTGAGGCATGGACAGAAATATTTTGTTGAGGTATTCAATTCAGAAAACATGTCCTTTCTGATCTAATGAAATCACAAGTGTTAATAAATATATTAAAAAGCAAATTCTTGTAAATTTTGACTTTTGGGGGGTTCTGACTTATTCAGCTTTGTTAATGGGGTTGAGAAAGAGCTGATGAAAGATACTTACAATTCTATAAGACGTAATCCCTTAAAGTCATCGGGATTCAATGTTGTTATCGCATTTGATTGTAAATCCCTGGAAAAAAAGTGAAAAATCTATAAGAGATAATATCAAACAACATATACAGATTCATATGGATTATCACTGAAATAATATTTTAATGAAATGTGCTAAAAGAGCTTCATAAAGAGACAATGTGTGAAGCAAGAACAGTCAATTCTGTCAACATTTTGTTTGGGTCGCGCGTCGAATTTACCTTCTTGTTGTAGACATTCTTATTGATCAAACTATATCAAGTCAGAGAAAATAACATATTAAACAAAAGACTATTAATTTGTCTTAACCAACCAAAACAGTGTGATTCGTGCAATTTCGGATATTGCGTTGAGACGTTTTCACATTTGCAGCATGTAACATTTCGCGACAAAATGTCATTTTCACATTGTGACAAGATTTGAACCCAACTTGTTTTTTTCAGAGTGTGAGTGAGTGTTTTGACATAGCACCTGGGCCGAGTGTAGAAGGGAGATGCAATCACCACACATAATGACAAGCTGGCAAGGGTTTCCTCCTCTTAAACATACACTCTCATACAAATGGGACAGATTCTCTTTTTATTTGAAATAGTCATAGACTGTTGATACTTGGACACTTCAAAAGACACACGGCTAATCCTCATCCTCCATGATAGAGCGTGAACACTTGTGTTTGTTCTTGCAGGGTGCAGAGCGAAGCCAAGGAGGAGGCCACGATAAAACCACATTTAAAATTCACACTTTAACAAGCACAATCAATGTAGGGGTTTCTCATGAAACCCATTCCTGCCTTAAGCAATGATGATAGGGACTAAAAAAATTGACATTTCGAATTTAAATTTAGAGGTTTTGTCACAATTTTTAAAAGAATTTGTACACAAATCATTTGAAAATGAAATGCATCAAAATACAAAATAGGTAAAATTACATAATTGTCATATTATATAACATCTCTAAATTTGTTCGAAACTACAAATGAAACAGAAAAAGGGCAGTTTGTCATAAGATAAATGACAAGATTCATGTGTTCATAGATAACACACCATACATCTGTGCTCTAGCATCCCAATACATGTTTTAATTTTTAACACTATTTGATATAATTTCGTTAACACTGGTTATAGCTGGATGTGTGTGTTGACGGTTGAAGGAGGCGATATGTTCCATATCATACATGTTCTTCGTCTGGTCGTACATTTTTTCCATCTCTCTGACATGATGAATTTCCCAGCTACCAGATATTTTTCCTGTCAAGTCTCCAAGCAAGCTACATATGGTATAACTATCCATAATTATACCAAAGTTTCAAAATGTGCAAAGGTATTATTTTCAAATTAGCATTTCCAAGCAGATGGAATAAACACCTCAATTACCGAAGGAGATAAAAACACACACAGTATAGAACAGTTATTCTTCATAAAATTGACAGTGGAAACTCATTGCCGTCCTCACTGGGCTGGATTCTGTGACCTTCCAGCAAGGCAGAGATCTTTCACATGTGTACGAGGCAATATCCTGCATTTGTGTTCAATTGCAGCAGAGTCTGATCTAAACTGTGTGTAGTACTCCGTCAATGTGTATGGTTTTGTGCGTACAGAGCTGTATGGGGTGTTTCCACAAGCTTTCCCCCATATATACCAGCTGGGATAGTCATACAAACTTTGTCAGGCATGAGAACCAGGCACCAGAAGCCCACTCTGATGATTTCCTCTCAACATTTTTCTTACTTACACCATATGTGCTTTACAAAACTTATGTTTGCTAGTTAGGAATATCCATTAAAGCGTAAAGACACCATTACCACATTGTCGTTTCACACTTCAAAATTTCGTATGATCTTTGATAAGTTTTATGTTTATATCTAATTTTAATGTCAGTTTATAAAATATTATATTAATCTGGCCTTTTCATATGGGATAAAGATTTTGATCTAAAAACGTTGAATGTTTTCTCAAAACTTAAGAATTGTCCCTTCCCTACACGTCTCTATACCCTCGGATAAAACAACACACTGGTCATATTCATTGTAGCACCGATGTTTACATTGCAACACTATGTATATTTCTAGTAGCAACGCACATGTAGTAAGTTGTATATTTCCCTGGGGTTCGTGCAACATGCACCGTCCACCTGTCCGTTAACAATGTTAATGCAATACCGATCCGAGGATAACTGTCAGATTCTGGCGATAAGATAGCGGTGAAATACACAACAAATACCTTCACACAACCCCTGTCTCCGGTCAGGTCTCGTTATAACGCACCCTCCGCTTCACAACAAAATTGGCATCAAAACACACGTCGTGGAAAGCTATTACATGTATTAACAGTGCAAACACACGATGGACCATACGTAGATTCATTACAGAGTATTTATGCAGTCGTATTTAGTGCGGTCGGGGGTGTATTTGTGAAAGAAGTGTGTACAAGCGGGCAGAAAGACAGAGGGACTTGAAATACTTACAATATCGTTACCCAGCTCGGTAAATCCTTCGGCACCTCGATGAGACCCTTCTTACTGCAGTCAACCATTCTGGCCAGACATGAACAAGCCCCTGGGCAGAGTACATTTTCTCCAAAAGCTCCATGCTGGACAATGTAACTCCCCAAAACAACAAAAGCAACACTCACAAACAGTCGAGGCATGGCCGCCATATTGGCCTGGCCTGCCTGCTTGTGTTGTGGGTTCGCAGCCTACTGTGTTGCGAGGTCCGCGATCGGCCTCCCGATCACCGGACATCAAGTCTGTCCCGGATCCCGGGACTCATGCTTACACGTGTATATCCAACATAGCGCACCACACGGGAAGTAGATAGTGTCCACACTTGATGTAATATCGGCCGTACTGATCAGTTCTACGCTCATCGAGTAATGAGCCAGGACTCCCACGTTTCCACTCAATACATTCCGCAAAGAAAACTAGTCTGCGCTGATTGGTCAGACGCGGTCACGTGCGGCATATATTAACACCCGAGGTTTGAAATGCAAAACACTGTGATCACATGGAATCCCGTCCTCCTAAACACTTGGATTGGGGTGTCGACAACATTTGTTTAATCTAAACTACCAACCTACTCTGTCGTGAGTTGTTTTGACAGTCGTAGGCGTAACTTTAGATGTCTTTCAAATCTTAGTTAGGCCCCCAAACTTCTCGCGCGTCTTCAGCTGTGATCACTACACATTACGACTGATTTTTAACTTTGATGTAGGGAAAGAAATATTTAAGCATGAAATGAACCTGCAAATGGCTTCGGCTCTGTGAAAAAGAAAACCTTGTTTCCTTCAAGCGTGCATCATCATTTTCAACCACCCATGAGTTGGTAACATATCTTCACGATTTTTTAGTGTAAACTTACATATTAAAGCCGAGAAATTTTTAACATTTTATCAAATAGGTTCAGTTATGGCATGTGATGATAGATGGATTACTGTCCCATTTTAGCCGCAACATTTCGTAAACGAAATGGTTAGTTAAACCTATGACACGCTCCGGCTTCGTTCTGATGTGCAACATTAGACGATATGAATGCATGGCTCTATACCCTATCAAAACATCTATTCCCAATAAACGTGAGATACATTTGACGAAGCCCCATACATAATCTCTATTAGATCTAGCTAATGTGTTTGCAATTGTATCATGTTTAATGAGACTCGATTATCATCGCGAGTGATTGAACGGCCCATATTGACGATATCCAAAGCACATCCTCTTCATGTCGATGTGGATCCCGAAGCGAGATAGCTGAATAAATGTTTGTGAAATATGACAATCTTTTGTCTCTTAATCAATAGACGATGAGCAGCAAGAAACGTAACAGTGTATTTGTGTTTGCAACAATGTGACTACCGCTAGAGCATCGATTCATACCCAACAGAGAGCATTCAATGTCGTTTTTCCAACTATCATCGACTGAGCAGTACACCAACATACTTTCAAGTACAGCGACCGAAAACTGCCTTTGTCGATAAAATGCATCGAATTTCGGAGTTGTTATGATTGACGGTGCGTTTGGTAGAAGTTTCTGTAAATGGGCTGATAGACTGGTATAATTAGACCGTCCGCTAAGAGGAAGCCGGGAATAAAGGTGTTTACAAACCCTGTTTGACCATGAAAGGCTAGCGTTTTTCATTTTGTAACATACTTGTATCGATTTGAAAAACGCACAGACCACATCTAATAGCTGCGAACAGAGGCAAAGATTCCGCTAATTTGAGTTTACTCCGAAGTGAATTACAAGAAATTGATTTTTTCATTAAAGATTTTTGTTGTAGGAATTCGAGGATTACCCGTGCCATTTTCTTCCTAATTATGGCGACCTTTTTCTTTTATTCGGTTCGTTGTGATGGGAATTCTGTAGGGGAATTTCCTCCGATTAAAAGTCATTTCACCAATACAACATGGAACCCGTGTAGAACGTGACCATTATTAGACATTGCCTGCTGCTGGCGAGATGTTCTGCAACTCAACAAGTTGGTCCCTGTCGAATGCACAGTGACATTTTGGAGTGCAACTGCCCTGTGCCGATCCATCATAAACGACATCTATAAATACGACTGTGTCATTAAACGACAACTGGGTGCCTTTATGCCCGTGATCGACAGTTGGTATTTGGACGCTGAGGAATCGAAATGTGCTATTTATGCGTTCCGAGGGATGTTTTATTAATGCTGCGTAGTATAAGTATAAAACTAATAGAATATGTAAATAGAAATGGTATTTAGAATGCTAATCTGTTTACGATGTTATGCGGTTTTCACGTGGAAGCGAGTCTTATGTCAGTCACTGTGCCGATCTGACAACGTGTACACGACGTAACAATTCTTCTGTCAAATATAATGCCTGTTGTGTTTAGTATCACACGGGAATCAATACGTTTAGACATTCGTAGACGATACACTTGGTATACATGTATGTTTAATATACTGACATAATATACGTGTGTGTTTGGTATGATGAAACTCGTACAGCGTCATATGGGGCGGTGTAAACGGGGTGTAAAACTATACCCACTCTATCACATGACAGGGGCATTTGGGTAGCCCAGTGGTCAAAGCGTTCGCTCGTCACGCCGAAGACCAGGGTTCACTTCCCCACGTGGGTACAACGTGTGAAGCCCATTTCTGGTGTCCCCCGCCGTGATATGGAATATTGCCAAAAGCGGCGTAAAACCAAACAAACTCACTCACAGCGTCATATGACACTCTCCTGTGTAATTTGTAGGTCGGTTTGTTTGATTTTCTGGCTACGTCATATCAAAAGGTGTTAAAAGATGCTACTTATTGTTATCCCGTCTGGTGGTCGGCTATGGCGATAATACAAAGACCGGAGTTGGGTATCCGTGTGATCTCTCTGGGCTAACACTATAAACCGCTTGTTATACAAGTCCATGGTTTAGTGACGTTACTTCAGTGTCATATCCAACAGTAAAAGTATACATGTATATTTAATACTGATCTGCACGCACATTGTGACACAAACGGCAAATACTGTACTTAGCAACACTACCGAACATTATTGATACATGTGTATACATAAACATGTACCAAGTATCTATTTCAACAAACGAAGTCATATATAAAGTTATATTTACCTAATATGCATAAGTCCAAAGTATACATACATAAGTTAATCCATAGATACAAACACTGAAAAACGTGGTCATGTGTGATATTTCTGGAAGCAAGAGAGAGCTGGTCGACTGTGAGAAGTATAGAGTAGAGATAAGGTGGGGGTTTGCCATTATACATGCATGCTTAAATGGTACGAGAATAACCTAATTTATATAGGTACACCGGATTTTGATTGAATTATATATGTGTTAATATCATAGTAATATCATTCTCTCTCTCTCTTTCCTATAGCCTTAAAATATGAAGATGATGATAAAGACAACGATGAACGTGATGATGAATCTGGTGATGATGATGATGATGATGATGATGATGATGACGACGACGACGATGATTAACATCAATAGGACCCTTTTAACCTCTTTGATGCCAGATGAATAATATCACTCAATGGCAATTTGCTTCCGTAATTCAACAACGGGCAATACGGGACCACTTCCAGTCACTCGACTCGTTTCCGTCTTTCAAGAGCATTTTGACGACTATTAGCCCTTGCTTTAGCAATTCACACTTAGATAGGATGTGTTTCGCAACTATCATTTCCCTCGTACGACCACTCCGTTTTCACATTAATCGCCCCAAATCTGAAATAATGCCCACCGTGTCCCTCTGAACCCGAAGATGCGTTTATTTACAATGGAACAATCGGAAACACGTCGTATTCACAAAGGGCTGTGATGTCAATATACGTTTACACAAACGTGTTAAACTGCGTTATTTCATATTCTCATCGGATCCAGCTGATGGATCTAGATGCTCATCAAGGAAATAAAATGCAAGGTCAAAGAAATATTTTTTATTGATCTACAGGCTGACCGGTTTTAACCAATTCCGTCCTGTTCATGAATAAGGACAATTGAATTTATAAGGAAAGTGAACCGCTGATCATAGCGATGGCACGTAAACACATATACCTCATTTGGGCTGAGTTAAGTGAGTGAGTTTAGTTTTACGCCGCTTTAAACAATATTCCAGTGATATCACGGTGGGGGACACCAGAAATGGGCTTCACACATTGTACCAATGTGGGGAATCTAACCCAGGTCTTCAGCGTGACGAGCGGACGCCTTAACCATTCTGCTACCCCACCACTGCGACTTGGACAGGCTACGATATCATATATTATAGGTGATTTAAAAAATTATAAAATACCATTTTTTACCTGTTATTAAGTGTTATTAAAGAGAGAAATGAAATTAAAGCGTTTTTGTGTGCATGAACACCAAAAAGACCCCCAGAAGTTTTTACACGTTTTTTTTTCACCGTCTCTGTGTCATATCGCTGTATCATATTTTACTGTACGAAGTAATATCTTTGTATACATATATTTTAAGATATACAGTGGTGACGCGTAAGTAAAGCATTTGTCTGTGGTTATTTTATGTGATGTTGTGGTACCCAAGTCACCCAGTAACTTAACTCCATATCCAGAATGGTCATAGCTACATAGGTGCGATTATCGAGCTGGTGTAACATTTTATGTTTAATCAAATATATTTATTTCATTTGAAACTTATTTCCAAGCCAGTGTCAGGAACCTTGAAAGAATTTCGTCTTTACTGAATATTTGGATTACAGCCACTCGGCGTTTCTGTAAAAACCGCGGCTTTTAACAGTGATTTAAATCCGTGGATGTTTTTCTTGTCGTGAAACTGAACCAAGCAGCGTTCTTTGAGATTTTAAATAGGCTTCAGGTACAATGTACGTTCTTTGAAAACACTCGCAGCGCTAAGTGAGAGAGGGATATCGTCATTCTTATCATGCAGCTTAGCGTTTTAGTACCGAGTTGGCTTTTAGAAGCACCCGACGTTACATCAAGCTTCATTCAGTCAAGAAAAACCTCTCGCTCATATAACCTTCCAATGTGCTCCCGTACCATACGTTACTCAGGAAACCCGCTACATTCGACGAAAAATGTCTTTATTTATTTTATTCTTTTAGACTATCGAGGCTTGAGAAGCTGGCTTTCGAATAGCACTTTTGTGTCGTCGACAAAGCCGTCCCGTGCCATTGTAATTCGTCACAACGTAGAGTGAAATGTCCGATTATTTGGTACGGGAAGCCCTCTTTTCATCAAACTGGCCTTATTATGAGTAAATATTATCTATTTGAATTTTCCAGTGGTCGGACTCAAACAACACATTCATCAATCACATTAATTGAAAATCGCACTGTTACTTTTTGAAAGGTGTTCCTGCATTGACAGGATGCCTTGAAAGAGGGCTTTGAAAGCTGCGCTTCAATGAAACAGCAATTTAAACACGCTTTCTTA